TGTGTGTGTGTGTGTGTGTGTGTGTGTGTGTGTGTGTGTGTGTGTGTGTGTGTGTGGAAAGCGGACTCTGCTCCGCAGTTTGCTGTTCCTTGTGTCTGTTGCCTATCGGCACTGATGAGGTTCTTCCTCTCCTGGAAGCTGGGACTCCATAGTATACTCACCATACTCTTCTGTCCAAGTTGCTATGTTTTGGTGGGGAACAATTGATATATATATTTTTGTTTTAAAGATGAGTAAATAAGGAGAAAATATAGCTGATAAGATCTACTTCTATGTATTGTATATGGAAATGTGAAATAAAACTGTTACTTTTTAAAGACAAGGTATTCATTTTTGTCCCCTTCTAAATGGTCAGATATCTATGGCATAAAGTTCATTTAGCACCTCATGTCTAGATTGCAGTTTGCGTGGCATCAGGACCATAAGAGCTGCCCCCTCACCCACATGCTGGCTGCCTTCTTTACACACCAACTCCCTGTTAGAGCCTGTAATTATGGTACCGCTGCGTCTCTCTTCTGTGATGAAGGGGATCTGATTGGAATTTAACAGTAGGGATAATTTTGCAATGTTAATCCCATGAATCGCTGTGTGGGAGAATCACTGTCTTATTTGAATGAATTTCACATTTACTTGTAGAATTACCCTGTGTTTTGATTGCTTAAGCCCAAGACACTTTGATAGCACTTTTTTGTGGTTTGTGTGGCTCGAGGCTTCGTCACACAGTTGGGCTTTTGTCAGGCGTACAAACAGAAGCAACAAGAGATCCTCTGTGCTCCTTTGACGGTGCAAACTCACGGTCTTTATCCGTGCTGAACATCTTAAAAATTCATATTTGGGGCACAAGGCAGGAGCTGGTGAGCTGTGATGTTCAGGCAGACCACTGTACAAACACGCATATCTGCAACCTGAGCCATTTTAGGCAGGTGTGCCTGGGGGGGTGACAGAGGTATCTATAGGATCACAATGATAGTGGTGTACGTCAGCCTGGTAGGCAAAGCGTTATCGTTTATGAAAAGGCTGTTCCATTTCCCTCAAAATAAGTGGAGGTAGAGTAGAACATGAGATTAATCCGCTCGCATTTCAAGCCCTCTGGAATTTTGGGGTGTTTCTTGTTAAGGGGGGAAGGTATGTCCATCAAGCTTGTAGACATGAAGGGCTGGAGCTATGGACTGTGCTCCAGGCTTCGTCTTCTCGAGCTCCACAGCCCCATATCTGATTCCATGCTCCCTGGATGTCTCCATTTGCCGTCTCCTCTATGAGGTTCACATGACCCTTAGGGATGGATCATTTGTACATTTCTCTGGATTGGCCAGTTTTATTTCAGGTTTGGACCCTGAATGAGGAGACTGGGAGAGGTGGCATGGACTTGCTTGTGCTCACGTACACTCTGGTAATGGGTCCTAGGGAAGGTCTGAACTGAGGGGCTGGCAGTGAGGGCCGTCCAGGTCTTGCCTGACTAAAATGTGGTAGAGACGATTGATTCTGCGTTGTCCATCTTTCTCCATAATCTGCCCAGTGTTCAGTAAATGGTCACTTGTTGGGGTTTGAGCCCACCTGCTACCTGATACAGCGGCAGCATCTCTACTGTGTCACACCCCTGCGGTTACGTCATTAAGTGTGTCAACTATGCACCCTCAGCCAGTGATTTTCACCATTTTTGCACACTAATGATCAAATTACATACTGCCAAAAAAAAAGATAGTTTGTTCACAGTGCGAGAGACTCATGTAAGCTACACCTGTAAAGGTGGGTGCCAAAACACGGATCAGAGGAATTGCAGAGGAGTATTGGATTTGATAGTGAGGCACCCATTTCTGGCACGGCTTCAAAGTGAAGTGCACTACATTTTCCCAGCCTATAAGGAATAAAACTTCCTCATGAAGTTCATTTATCTCTCTCTCTCTCTCTCTCTCTCTCTCTCTCTTTCTTACTTGGGTTCAACTCCTCCTCCCCACAGCCAACTTGATCCCATTTAAATCTCATGGCGCCACTGCCTTTACAATACTTTGGGGGGAGACATCACAGGGACAGTCACACCCAGACTCTGGAAGGGGGTGGGGGGGGGTGCAGTGACCACAGGGCTACTGCAGGCCCCCGGCAGGACACAGCATTGGATTGTGGGATTGAAATTGAGCCAGGTGTTCCACCTTATCTGACAGAAGAAGAGGGTTATTCTTTGGAAAAAAGAGGCAAGGCAAACTGAACTCCATCTGATTTAGATTTATGCTTCACAGGTAGTTTAGATAATGAGTGTTGAAGGTCTGTCTGAATGAGAAACCTTGAGGAGTGAGGATGACCGCGGTCTCCTTGCTGCATCCCGTCTGTGGATGACACGGCCGCCAGTGTAAGTGTGACCTCTATTTTTCCTGCCTTCTGAGACTTTTTCATCTGTAGAAGGTTTCTGAAGGCGTGATGGTGACTTTGAGAGATGTTGCGCAACCTGTGGACGGTTTGAGGTTCCTGTGAACGGGGCAGCCTGAGAGGGATCTCTGATGTCGACTTCCCTGCTGGTCGCGCTGCTGCTCCTGGTGGGGATCGCCGAGGGCCCGGACGGGCCCCGGAGCCCATGTACAGGTACACCTGTCTCCCATCGTGTCGTTCACCCGTGTCCGACGTGCACACCCGTCGTTACACACCTGCTCAGCTCTGATTGCCACACACGTACATGCAAGACGAAAGGCAGCATTCCAAACTGTCTCAGTGACTTTTACAAAACCATCCAGCAATATAAGAACAGCCAACAAAATTTAAAATAACGCTGTATAAAGCACATTATTTTACAGACAAGTCACAACCTGCAGGATTTGCTTTAACTGTTCACAAGTTACGATTAGGGCAGTTTGTTGGCACAGTAGTTATCACTGTTGCCTCACACTGGTTCTACGTCCCCGGCTGCCTGGGATAGGCTCCTGTCTCCCGGTCTCCCCGCTTAGGGTGCATGAAAGCGGGGCAAGACTTTCTTTGAAACTGCATTTGCTAACAAGCCAGACGAATCGAATTATGCGGAAGCTTCACCCCCACAAGAAATCTGGATCTCGGTGCTGTTTGTTTTTTTCAGACATCATTAGTCAGCAAAACAACAGGATATGGGGGGGGGGGGGTAGCTAAACCTGCATTTCAGACTGGCAGCAGCTCCGTGCTCTAGAAGGATTCCAGGGGTGCTACCATTATCATCCATCAATCTGCTTTGTGACTGCCTCTCCTGGACAGGATCTCAGACACCTCAAGACCCGCGCCGATGAATGAATGCAGACAGGGCAGGTCCGCGGAGCCCCGAGACTCAGAGCTCAGCCATGGCGAACGCGGGTTTTAGTGACGAGAGCATCAGGCCCAGGATGAGGGTGACCACATCTCGGTGGACAAGAGCTCATGCCGACAGACAATCTCTGCGGATGTCCTTTAATCTTTTTATTCCAGCCACTTTACATGAAAATGTATTTGCAGTGCATTTGCATTTTCAGAATAGATACTGTATCATTCCAGCATCAAAAACAGATGAATGAGACCCTCTATCTGAGGATCGCTTACTTTTCGCTTTGATGTTGCTTTCAGGTTCAAGGCATATAGGGAGCTTATTAATCTTTCCTCACTGACCTCATTAAACATCCATCCATCCATCCATCCATCTTCCAACCATTTACCTTAGTCAGAGCCTGGAATCTGTCGCGGTCAGCATAGGATACTGGCAGGGGTCCCTGCTGGACATGTACACGCGCCAACACACAAATGCCGATCCGTGGGAGCAAACGCACGCAACACAGAGAGAACATGCAAACCCCCAACCCTGTCACCATATTGCCCTGGTTAGCATGAAATGTCTCCCATAGCATCACATTTTAAAACTGAGCCTTGAATCATACTGCTGATGATGTATCTGCAAACCTGTGCTTTAATGCATTGAAATCTGAATTAATTGTGTTTATTCATTGTGTTCGTTTACTTTATCTGGGAGACCGTACTGGCTACACCGGTATGACAGATGCATGGGTGGATCAATGTTCATTTTTATTTATTAGTTTAGACTGGTTTTGAAATAGGTAATTACTTTTGGTAAAGTGATACTTTAATTTTTCAGTTCATTACCTTCTCATTAAAAAAGTGGCATATTAATTTTTTATAGCATAAATCAAATCATATAATGTGCAATTAATCATACAAATCATTACATTAAATGATGTACAGAACTTTCTTCATTTCTCCAGTTTCGCTGTGCTTCCAGACTTTGCTAACCTGTGATTCCCTTCTGACACTGGGGCTGCACCCCTGAAGATCTGTTGCCTCTCGACTTGCTGTCCCGGGCCCTTCCTACTGCGGGTGGGGCCCTCCAGGGACTGTGCATCGTCCAGGATCAAGGGACCCGGGGCCTCCGGCTGCTGGCTCCGGCAGGTCACCGAGCCCTGAGCTTTCCTGCCTCACAGCTCTTCGTGAACTGTGACCTCTTCCCAGCAGAGTTCTCCATCGTGGTCACACTCAAGGTCTCCCATCCAGCTGCTCAGGTGAGACCTTAGAGCAGATGTAGGCTCTCACACCTTTTTCTGAGACACCAGATGTCCTTATGAAACATATTGAATTAAGCAAATGAACAGGTGTATTTCTGCTTTAAAAGTTAATATAATATGATGTTGAGGAGCAGATTGGATACAATCCTGCCTTCACACCAATAGGCAGTTTGAAAGGTCCAATTAACGTTAGCATTTTAGTACTTTTGAGGGGAAATCCCACAATGACATGAGTAGATTGTGCGTTCAGTAAAACACTGTACTTTTACTAAGTAACACATTCACATATAATTATTGTAGGAGCCTTTTTTCCTTGTGAGTCACTGGTCTTTTGTCATGTTATCGCACTGTTGGTCTCATAATCGCACTGTTGGCTTCGTAATTGCGCTGTTGGTCTTATATTCATGCTGTTGATCTCGTAATTAAGCTGTTGGCCTCGTAACCTCTTTTTTTTGGTCTCATAATCGCACTGTTGGTCTCGTAATCGCACTGTTGGTCTCGGAATCTCACTGTTGGTCTCATAATTGCACTGTTGGCTTCGTTATTCGGCTGTTGGCCTCGTAACCTCTCTTTTGGTTTCGTAATTGCTCTGTTGGTCTCGTAATCACACTGTTGGTCTTGTAATCGCACTCTTGGTCTCGGAATCGCACTCTTGTCTCGGAATCGCACTGTTGTCATAATTGCACTGTTGGCTTCGTAATTGTGCTGTTAGTCTTGTATTCATGCTGTTGGCCTCATAACCTCTCTTTTGGTTTCGTAATCACACTGTTGGTCTCGGAATCGCACTGTTGGATGTATGTTGTTTCCATTGTTTGCATCTTAATTATCCCATGGATGCTGATAGCATATGCCTGTCTGCATACCTATAAGCATTCAAAGACAACGTGGCCCAGGGCTGTCTGCATCTTGCGTTTGCTTCCAGAGAGGCGAGTACATCTTCTCACTGGTGGAGGAGGAGCTGGACCTGCTGCTGCTGGGTTTGCAAGTTGGGCAGGAGAAGCTCCAGTTGCTGGTCCAGGACGGTTCGGGCCAGCGTCGGATCACCGTGAGGGGTGTGCCGCTGGCGGACGGCCGCTGGCACACGCTCGTGCTGTCCGTGACAGGCCGCCATGCCACCGTCACCATGGATTGTGACACCCTCTTTGAGACGTGGGTGACTGCAGATGCACCAAAGTGGGGGTGGCGGGGGAGGTGGTGCAATACTGGGTCAATTTACTTTGAATTGATGTATGACGTCCTGCAGCATCAATGATGAGATCAGCACCAGAGATTAGACAGGAGGCTGATATTTAGCGTGAAGATGCTGAGCGCTTTGAATACATCAGTAGCAGTGAGAGCTGGAGAGGACTGATGGGTGCGATGGCAGATCCCACAGAAAGAATGTCAGCTGTACCTTGGAAGTAGGTAGCTGGGCCAGTCGAGCACTTGGGCTAAAAATCCTCATAGTGTCTCTTTACTGGTGCCCTGGGATAAGCTTCTGATTCTGCAAGACCCAATGCTGGAGAAGCAGTTATGAAAGTGGATGGATGGATGGATGGATGGATGAGTGTATATGAATACTGAATATATTTCCCTCTTCTTTTCATCACCCCCAGGTCTTACGACAGGCCGTTTCCCGTTGCTCTACGTACCACAGGTTCCATGTTCTACATTGGCAGCCGCAGAGCTCTGAGAGGGCTCTTCTCGGTAAGGCTCCGCTCTCCTGCCCCAGTCAGGGTGTCCAGGCTTGCTGGCTCACTCCCCACCCCCCCTCAGGGATTATTGCGCCAGCTGGTCCTGCTGCCCGGGTTGGATGCCGCGTCACGGATATGCCCCGCGTCAGACCCCAGGCTGGCCGTCCTCTCAGTCACACCCGCCCTGCTGGAGATCCCCGTTATTCCTCTAGGCGACGAAGCCTTGACGCATCCACATGGTAAGAAGGGGACTGGACACAAAACTCCCCTCATAATATTAATGTAAAATCCTCTCAACCTTAAAGCCTCCTGTGCTGAGTTCAGCAGTTTCTTTTGAGCCGGACACAGTTGGGTTTGACATTTGGGCCGCTGATGTGCAGCGGTAATGATGCTTCTCTTTTGGGTGTCGTGTTTGAGCAGAAAGCATGCAGTGGTCTGGAGGGTGGGCCAGCATGACTCGGGGTCCTGTGGGGGGTGTACCTGTTAAAGTGCGGCCTCACCTAACTGCAGATTTAATGAATGAATTAGAACATAAAACATAAATGATTTGTCTGCCTGTTTGGGCAGCAGGTGACCTGCAGGTTAAAGCTCAGGGTGATATGCACCTGTGTTCTGGTTCATCCCTTTGAATGCTGGTTTTTATATCTTAACTTTTGCAGTCTATGAAGGCATATATATTGGAATAAAAGAATTATGCATGAGTAAAAAAATATAAACACAAGCTTAACTTTTTTTCTGTGAAATAAATTGATTTGTATATCAGTGTCAGATTATAATACTGAGACTGTATGACAGGAAAGAAACAGGAAACAGGAAATGGGCCAACTGCCCACATCCACTGGAGGAACTGGCACAGCTTGGGTGAGCTGCTTGCTGAGCAGCACAGTCAGGCGTAAACATCCCGGATAGGAGAACCTATTCTGGGGCTGGGCTGCTAAGATATTGCTGCTATGGAAATGTGGAGGTAGCTATAGAACTGTTAGAACTAAAAAATAGCTTGTTTCAGTGATCTTGTATGTTTAAAGCCTTTAAAACCAAGTAACAAACAATTATTATATGTTATTGACTAAGTGAAACGAACAATTATTTGTTTTATTATGTTTCATCCGAATGTTCCCTTATCTGGCAGCAGGGTATCTGTGTATGCTGGTATTTGATCACAGACGTGGCTTACAGATACGTGCACATCACAGATGTGCCTTGCAGATACGTGCACATCACAGACCTGCCTTACAGACACATGCACATCACAGACCTGCCTTACAGACACATGCACATCACAGACCTGCCTTACAGACACATGCACATCACAGACGTGCCTTACAGACACATGCACATCACAGACGTGCCTTACAGACACATGCACATCACAGACCTGCCTTACAGATATCTGCACTTATTTGCTTATCATTCAAAGCAGCTTATATATCTTACAGTTTGATATGTCCTGATAGGAGACAGAGCAGAAGTGAAGCTCATTTCAGGTGACTAGTTGGCTGTGTGCAGACCTCATCTGTAAAAAAAATACTGTTGTAGAAGATCCAGATGGAATACAGGGTATTCTGATGCATCGCCACCTGCTGGCACTTAATAAGAATAACGTGCTGTCATGCTGAGATTGTTTTTTTAGTTTTGTAATCCCCAGTTTCCCATAATTCCCTGGTGCTTTGAAAAGGTACCCTGTGAGAAGGCAGTTCAGATGATGATGATGAAACGTACAGAGGGAATTGTCTAAAACTGGCAGTGGTCCTAATTCAGTTATTATGAAATTATTATTCAGTTAAATTACTAAGTTCATTCCTCTAAATGTTTAAGTACCTTTATCAGGAGTGAGGAGCAGATGGGAGAAATTTCTGTCCATTCTCCACTATCCATTCTGCCCTTTCTCAGGTGCAGGAGCCCGTCTGACCCAGGGGTCGCGCCCCCCCTGCGCTGAATCAAAGCAGGCTCAGCTGTGGTTTGACACGGTGGATAACGGTCTCTTCCTGTGCGACGGACTAACCTGGGTGGACATGCTGCAGAGTGAGCAATCGTTACCTCAGTTCCCAGGCCCTAGGGCTCCGCCCACTGTCTGGATCCAATGAGCAGTTGTTACCTCTCTTCTGTGGCTGTACAGCTCTGTGCACCAGCAGAGTTGGATAGTTTAGGTCCAGATTGTAAAAATCCAGGCCAAGATGTTGTTTCAACCGACGACATGAGTATAAAGAGTCACAGTCACAGAGTACTCAACTCAACTGGTCTGGATTTTCACTTTTTGAACCTGAACTCTCCGCCCCTGCCCACCATCGTGCACCATCACAATGCACCCCAATTTGACTCTGTTGACTGTGTGCACCTCCATTCCTCTTCCAATACCTACTATCCTAAACTAAAACAGTCCAATGACATACCATGATTTGTATGACTCTGCCACATGGTCCAGTGATTCCCTTTTCTCGCGGTCTTTCTCTGTATGGTCACCATTGGTTTTTTCATAATATTGGCCTGTTGATAAGAATTAAATGTCTTCTGGACTTCATCTGCTATTGATGGACCACTAGGCCCCTTGCTTTGAAGTTCTCGTCTAGACTCCATATCAGTAGCACATTACCACACGCCACACGAACACTGCAGCGTGACATAGGAGCTGCAGAAGAAAATCAGCAAGGCAGAATTCAATAAACAGCCAGAAAAAAAACACAATTCTGTAAGAAAACAAACATCAAACTCATTTGCTTGAGACTTCACTTTGTGTTTTGTGCTCAGAAAGGGAAAAGCTGGACTACCTGGAGGATCACCAGGACCTGCACACGCTCTCCGAGACGCTGGACATCGAGCTGTTCCACGTCCCCTCCCTGGGGCTTTTTGCTGCCATGGCTAACTGGGAGTCCAGCTTCGGCTCCCGTATATACAAGTGGACGGACGGGAAATTCCAGCTGTACCAGAACATCAGCACCTCAGAAGCACTGGCCTGGAAATTCTTCACCGTGGATGACAAGGTGAGACACTTTGGGGACATTTGTATGAAAAGTCCCTAAAAGGTTGGGATAAACCTAGAACACGAACACGACATCCCTCTGCTGTTAGAAAGCAGGGACACTCCAAGGCTTTGAGACGCAGCGGTGCAATGGGGCTTAATAACTGCAGAAGATATAAAAATTGTTCACTTGGATTGAAACATCCGGTTCAATACTTGGACCCTTGGGTTATATGATTTTTCAGTCTTTCTGTTGGCACCTATATTGCCTCTCTAACAAATGAAACATCCCTGCGGCTCCATTGTCACCAAGAGGCCTCTAAAAGCACTAGGCATTCCTGATTGAATTACGCAGGAAGCTCTGCAAAAATACTTACCCGAGAAGAATTCATTTTGCCAGGGAGGGCTAGCAGACACGAACCTGCTTATGGACACAGGTACCAAAGCTAGAGGCTGCTGCCTCAAGACTTGGTAGAGCTACCACACGAGGACTTTGAGGCGAGGCTAATTAGTCTAATAAATATCTGCTACCTTGGATACAACTGTCAGCTAAGTCACTACCGATGTAAGGAATTCACACATGCAGGATTACACTGGAAGATATCTGAGCCCTGAGCTCGTTGTCAAGTGAGGCACGCACATATGAATTTCCATTTAAAGAGGCTGACTCATTCCTGCCTCAGATGTTCCTGGCAGCGGCCATTTCCAAAGAACGGGACCAGGGGGGGCGAGAGCTCTCTGTCATCTACAAGTGGAGCCCACAGAGGCTCCAGTTTCTGCTGTACCAGTCCCTGGAGACACACAGCGCCCGCGACTGGGAGGCCTTCCACATCGGGGGAGAGGTCTTCCTCGCGGTGGCCAATCTCAGACAAGGTACAGATGCACAGACAACATTTGAAAAAGTGAACTTCCTTCCAGGCCATTAAGAGATGATCTTTTAACAGTCTGGTGTGTTCATACCTTTAAAATGTATGCCAGAGCTATTCAGAATGATATTGTGTGACCAAAAAGTAATCATGCTTTCAAATATATTCTCCCTGCCCACAGGGATCAATTATTATTATTATTATTATTTATTATTCATTATTATCATTTTTTTTCAGGGAACAACAACCACAACATTGACAGCGTGATCTACAAGTGGAACCCGAGTACAGAGGCGTTTGAGGTCAACCAGACCATCCAGACTTCCGGGGCCTATGACTGGGAATTCTTCACTGTAGGACCCTACCACTTCCTGGTGGTGGCCAACACCTTCAATGGTGTGTCTACACACATTGAGTCCATGATCTACATCTGGCTGGGCGGCATCTTTCAACCCTTTCAGGCCATTATGGTGAGATCTATCACATGACCCATGTTTTTGCTACCAGGAAGCTGAAGTACTGGAAAAAGAGAAATTCAAAGAATGCAAAGACCATTATGGTGTCATTATAGTCCTTATCCAGGTTCCATCACATAGGTGAACATAATAGGTTGTGCAAGTAATGAGGAACAAGCATATCTGTCCAAGAATTGTGAACCATGCCATGTAGAACATTATGGGGTTTCCCAATAAATTTGGGGCTACACTGATTGCTTGGTGTTACATATGAACAATTCTCAGTTTGTTTTTGTCTAGATTTGAGTTACAGAAATATAATTTTTACTCATGCCTACAATGTGCATGGAACTTATATGTTATGTCATGGAAGTAAATTCAACCACATGTCCTGACCTTTTGTGCAGACTCTGGGCGCAACAGACTGGGAGATGTTCCGGATTGGAAGCCGGGTCTTCCTGGCAGTGGCCAACAGTCAGAAACTGTGTCAGGAAGGTCCAAGTGTGTATGCCCTCAACTCCACCATCTATGAGCTTGACATGACCATGAAAATGTTCCTCAGGTTTCAGGACATAGGAACCTACAGGTGAGCTACCAGAGGAAATGGAAATCTATTTTCACCTGTTAAAACATGTGGCTGCTATTAAACCATTAGCAGGTCCAGTATTCTTTGAAACTGCACTATATTTGTTTTGAGAAATATGTTTTAACACCCAAATGCCCCGGGTTGCCGCACATTAGTGCAGTGGACTGGGAATTCTTTACAGTGGGAGATGAAAAATTCCTAGTTGTGGCCAATTCCTTCAATGGACAATTCCATTCCCTGAACAGTGTAATATACAGGTAGGGGCCATGGTTAATTTTTCTATTAAAAATACAGTATTTGATATTCAACCATCCATCTTTTGTAAGCACACATTCGGTATAACATGGCAGTGAGCCTGGAACCTATCCCAGGAAGCTTTGGGCACCAGGCAGAAGGCACTCTGGAAAAATGGCAGTCTATTATTTGATATCGAAGAAGTTTTTTTTTTGTGGGATAATATATTATGTTTGCAGGTGGCAAGGTTATGAGGGCTTTGTTCCCGTTCACCGACTTCCAACCATCGGCTGCAAGGACTGGGAATTCTTCAAGTCCACAGAGGACTCCTATCTCATCTACTCCAGCGCCACGGAGCCCCTCTCCAAGGTCCTCAGGCTGAAGACCTTCTGATAGCCCAGGGAGTCCTGATCACGAAATTAAACCGAATGTAGGATACGTCTGATTTCTGGGCCTCTTATTATATAATTACCTTAAAAAAATGTTTATTGTGGTAATAAAAAACATATACTGTATACAGTGATTTCAATCAAATAAAAGAATCGTACCTATTACACCATGCCTTCATGTGCCTCTTTCTCTTTATAAAACCAGGTATGCTTAGTCCTAGCTTTCAGAGGTTCACGCTAAGCTAACCTATTGGCAGATATTGTGTGTACAAGAAGTGACAACTAATAAAAATTGGTTACAACTCGATAATCTTAAATTATGCCATCACAGGCAAAGATACAAAACTGCGATTAAAACATCGATTAAACGTCACTCGACATTTCTGCCTGCGCTCCAACTAAACACGCCACCCTCTGGCGAGAATATGTAACTGACAATGCCAAGCGAATGGAAGTTGAATTGATGACATTTATTTTGTTTTCCTTTATTCTGGATGCCTGGTGCAGACTATGAATATGATATATTATACATTGTAGCTACTGGCGTAGTAACATGTTGTAGTACAGTTTATACATCGTGCCTTTTATACAGACAGGCTTTTAAGAACTACCAGTACCGTCATACACGAAGTAGTGCGACGTCATGTGGTAAATGTAGTTTTTATATACGATCCGGATGGCGAAACATACATGAAGCTGTGGAAAGTAAACTTCACGTACCACAATGCACCAGGCATCGACATGACTTGTAAAAACATGGCCACCTACTGTACAGCGTTGTTAAGTCTATTTATGTTTCGTATTTAGATAGCTAACGACTGCTGTGACAGAAACGAAAGTATAAAGTACGCTCGGTTGAAATAAAAGTTGCATGCCAGACGATGATAAGGTAGCAAACTACATTTATTTTGGGTTGGGTGGCATTAGATTGATAATTACTTGGCCACCTGGTTAGATGGCAATCTGTATTTTGTTTTATAGTGACGTGGTAGACAACTTACAGTAGTTTTATTTTAAAAACCTGGCCAGCACTAAAGATGCTTTCTCCCATTAAACCAATATATTCAGGGTTGAGCCAGAGGGCTACGAACCGAGAGCTGGGGAAGACAAAGATGAGATAGCAAGAGGAAAAGGTTCACTTCCTATTCGTCAGTTGTATTTCAGTTAGTGGCTTCCACTTCATATTTCTCCGCGAAAAGAAGAACCGCGATTAAAGCGAGACAGCATGTTTGGAAATCTTTTTGAAGAAGACGAGGAAGGTTTTAGTCCTGTCACTGTCGATAAGAGGGTTGACAAAGGGAAAGACGCCGAGCCCCCACCGGCCAGAGGGACCGTAAATCTCAGCGGTATCAGGAACCAGGGTGGTACCTGTTATCTTAACTCTTTGCTGCAGACTCTCCTTTTCACTCCGGAGTTCAGAGGTGAGGATACGGCCATATGTGCTGAGCAGGTCTGACAATGGTGAAAATCAGCCCGATTGTTGTCGGTTTTTTTATTTTTATTTTATTTTTTTAAAAGAAAATTTCACTAAGACATTTAAAGAAGAACTGACAGTTTAATTGTAAGAAAACATCGCAGAAAGCCATTGCATTTAATTCATTTAAATATTAACAAATCCTTGGATTTATTTTGTAATTGGTATGTTAATATCTTTAGAGGAGCTGTTCAGATTGGGACCAGATGAACTAGGCTGCCTGGAGGATAAGGACAAACCAGAAGCCAAGGTAGGGTCCGAACCCGAAGGAAGGTTATGATACACGGGGCAAATTTTTGACCAGTGTTGCTGACCAGTGTTGCTTGGGGACTGTCCCATTGTGCAACAAATTTTTATTTGAAAAACTTGGCAGTTAAAATAAATTGGCAGTGGGCAACTTTTTGCGATCATCAAGGGGTGAGTTTCTTGAAACCTTCTTAACACTACGTCTTTCGTACGTTCTATCTTTTAATATCTATCTTTTTAATTTAAGAAGGCTTCGGGAAACTCACCCCAGATCCAGATGATCGAGTTGCACTTCGTCACACCTGGCTGGCAATTGCCCAGCAACATTGCTCAAAAATGTGCCCTGTGAATCATCACCTGGACAGTTGTTCCCATCCCACACTGCGCGGTGGGAGTTTGCATAAAATGTGAACAATAAAACGTGAAGCTGTCTGTGGTGGCATCAGGTGGGTACGTCTGTCCCTAGGTGCGGGTCATTCCGCTGGAGCTGCAGAGGTTGTTTGCTGAGCTGCTGCTATTGGACCAGCAGACGGCCTCCACGGCCCAGCTGACCGATAGCTTCGGATGGACCAGTAGAGAGGTACTGGATCGCTGCGCTGTGCCCGCTAACGAGATGCGCCTTTGCAGGCCACTGTGGGTGGGATTTACCAACATGCTCAAAGACTGCCATGTTTAGCACAGTGATCACTGGAAGGGAAGTCAGTTAATTCTATCAGCAGCTGTTAGCGTGCAGTAATTCCACCCCTGCCTGTTGGTGGCTTGAAAGCGGTCAGGGCAGTCATCGGCTGAGTGATTAGGGACCTGGCAGTGATACGGTGTGATAAAGAGCAACCATGGGACTAGGAAACCAGATCATGTGACATACCAGAGACCCCACAACATTCCCCTCCCCAGGAGAGCAGTCAGCACGATGTGCAGGAGCTCAACCGCATCCTGTTCAGTGCCCTGGAGAGCTCCCTGGTGGGAACGTCTGGGAGCGACCTCATTCACCGTCTGTACCACGGCGTTGTGGTCAACCAGATTGTGTGCAAGGAATGTGGCAACGTCAGTGAGAGAGAGGTATGTGCACGTGTGGCACGAGGGGTACGGCAAGTGTGACGTCTCTCATACTTTGCTTTGGAAAAAAGCATCTGATGGGGCCAGATAAATAACTCTAAATGAAAATGTTTTGTTAGGAGGACTATCTGGACCTGACAGTGTCAGTTTCGGGGCTGGGTGGCCTGGAGGAGGCGCTGTGGAGCATGTTTGTCGAAGAGGAGGTCTTTGATGGAAACAACCTGTACCGTTGCAGTCGCTGCAATGTCCTGGTCAAGGCTACCAAGGTTAGTCATCTCAGAAGCTCTTTTGATGTGCTGCTCAGGGTGTAGGTATCACTGGAGTATACTTTGAGCCGCTGACCTGGTGACAGGAAGACGTATTTAACCTGGACTCTTCAGTTATGTAACAGGATTAATTAAGAACACAGTTAACAGCGCTTTTCCACTGGAATACCGGAACCGAGCCGCACCCGAGCCGCACCGCAAAGAGAGACTAGCTACAGCGCGGTTCCAGCTCGCTTTGGTTTTCCACTGCAGAAGGGTCGGCTCGGTAAAGGCGTCGCCGGGTTTGGAGAGTGACAGAGATGCTTATTTACTGTTCGCATGGTGTACTTTACTGTGCGCTGATTTCCTAATTTTCTACCACATCTATGAGAATCGCTGTGTTATGTTAGCATCAAACGCTAGCAGAATTACCAATCGCTTGCATGAATTTGCATTACAAATCCATTCCAATCAGCTATTCTATAACTACTTTTTTAATTAGGAGTCGGGAAATTTTCAAGTTTTGAGTTTTTGCGAATGCCTTGCGATGTGTGATATTACTAACAAAGAATAATATACAGTATAGAGCAGGGCTCTTCAAATCTGGACCTCGATTCCAAATCCAGGCCTTGTTTTCAGTTCTCCCAGGTAGTTAGTTTAATAATTACTGATTCTGATTGGTCAGAGGCTTCATACCTGGCTCACAGGTAAAGGAAGGCTGGAAAACCAGCAGTGCTCGGACGTCGAGGACCGTGATTTGAATAATAGGGGTATAGAATATACCCTTTTTTCCTTTAGACAATCCACGCGTAGAACACTGGTATCTTGGTGCATTTCAACCAATCAGGTGGTGGTGACGCAAATGGCTTGGTTTGGTCACTCTTTCTAGCAGGGCCGTGTTAGCTCGGGTACGGCCCGGTTACGGCTCTGGGTATGGCTCAGTTCTTGGTGGCAGTGGAAAAGCGCCAATAGTGAACTATTGAAGCTGTAGGTTGCAGGCTAACGCTGTGCCAGTGGTTCAGGCCTCTAGCTAAGCAGTATGTTCTACAAGCCCGAGCCCCACCTCAGTCCTGTCCGTCCGCAGTCCGCCAAGCTACGGAAGCTGCCCCCTTTCCTGACCGTGTCCCTGCTGAGGTTCAGCTTCGACTTCGCCAAGTGCGAGCGCTTCAAGGAGACCGGCCGCTACACCTTTCCCCTCAGCGCCAACCTGAAGCCCTTCTGTGAACAGGTGCCCGTCTCGGCCTCCCAGTGAGCCCCCTGCACTTCCCACGCCAGCCTGGCCGTGCACAGGGTGCCCTCATGTGTATCGCTGAAATGGGCCACTGGATTAAACAGCATTTCCCATATGGTTGATGTCATCACTAATGCAGCTATGATATTGTCAGTCGTCCCCCTGATAAAGGGAATAACAGAGCAAGGTTTTCAACTGTGGACACCTGGCTGGTGTGAGATTTTCAGTTCGAGACAAGTCTGCTCACACATGCACTTACATTCATATGTATGTAGCAGTTTTATGATCCCTGTAAATATTCTGTAGAGTTTGCAAACCACCCCAACACTTTTGATGTAGCTAATTTTAGGTTTATAATGGAATAATATCGATTTGCCGTAAGGCCTCTTGCATGAGCGTGAGAGTCGGAGAGCGTGAGTGTGAGCTGGCGAATCTGCACGTGTCGCACGTAACCGGCCAGCAAGGAGTGCGACTCACCTTCGATTTTGAGGCTCTGTCGTTCTTGCCGATGCTTAAAAGATCATTATCAGTAAACGCCATGAGCTGTTTGCTGTGTCAAATCCACAACATCGGAGGTAGATGTGATTTGACCCCAGGGAGGGCTGTGGCTGTTGCTGTTGCAGTGGGTAAAGCGTCATTCTGGTCTCCTCACACAGGCAGAGCAGCCAGACTCTGAATACACATACGAGCTCTTCTCCGTGATCATACACAAGGGCGGCTGCCATGGGGGTCACTACCACGTCTACATCAAGGACATCGACGAGCTGGGCCACTGGGAGATGCCGGTGAGGCTCTGCGCGGTGGGAAGGGGAACGCTTCCCCAGGGATTTCTGGGATGGCGTCCTTTTAATAGTTTATAATTCCTTGCTTGTATGTGAACCCCATGGGATTTAGGAGGAGGAGCCCAAACCCAAGTTTCCAAAGGCTCAGGCGAAGGTGTCAGAACCGGTGCTGGTCCACGAGGACCCCTTATCAGTCCTTACCACTATACTGTCTCAGGTAGGACCTGCGTGTGCCCACGCCACTTCTGTCTGAAGGTCAACACCAACATCGCCGTGCTTGTTGAGATTTACAGAAACATCCTTTCTGGACAGGAAGCATCCCGGACTGTCCTTGTGGACCAGCTAGGCCAGAAACTTCTGGACAAAATCGGGATTTCTTGGAACAAGAAGTTCCGCAAACAGCATGGTCCCATAGGGAAGGTCAGTGGGAGGACTGGTGTATTTTTTTTCCAGAAAATTCCCTATGCATCTTTTGTTTTTTTTACATTAATTCTTCCTTCCCAGATACCCCAGCTCTCTCCCAGTGCTGTGCTTTCTCTCTCCCAGTTTCTGCAGAGCCAGTCGGATGTGTTCTTACTGGTCTCTAATGGCACACGGGTTACCCTCAAAGCCACCACCCCCACCGTGGCAGGGGGGGACGCAGCCCCAGAGAGCCAGGCTGCGGAGGAAGGGCCTGGGGCCGGCGATGGCCCCCACTGGTTTGACCTGAATGACTCCACTGTGACACCCATCCATGAGAGGGACATCCAGAAGCAGTTCCAGGGCAAAGAGAGTGCCTATATGCTGTTTTACCGGAAGGCGGGGCTTCTGCGGCCTCAGGAAGGTGTGGGGGGTTTGTGTGACTGTGACTGTCAGTCCTGCACTGTGATGTGGCTCCTTGCTTATAACGGGATGTAAATTATGTTATGGTACAGAATCATTATGAAATCTGTTAGCCCAGTATTTTTCTCAGTACTTATCCACGGTCGTCACCGATATTGTCCCCATGTAGGTAAACCCTTCCTTTCCAGTTGATAAAAAAAAAAAGTCCCAGTTTTGTTTCCAGCACCTCCCTGTCACTGCTTTGTGTCTTAAACCGTAAATCCGACCGGCTTCCTGTCACATTCGGCGTGTCTGAAACGTGGCCTGAGGGCATCGGGATGTGGCTGTTTGATTTGCGGGTCGTTTCTCTCGTTGCCGAGCAGCCAAGCAGAACCGTGGGTACACGGTGCCCCCCCACCTGCTCCAGATGGCCCAGGAGGAGAACGTCACGCTGCAGCAGCGGCGGTGGGTCTGTGCGGCTGCCGTATACGCTGGCGAGGATGCGTGCGTACACCTGAGAGACGAGCTTAGAGGAAGAATCGTCTTCATTATGATAAAAAAATGGACGTATCTGCTTTGGTCTTTTCGTAAGATAATAGACAATATCTTTGGATAAAATGGTATTGCAGCTTTTTTAGTGAGTATAAAAAAGCTACTTTAATGGCAAAATGTGAAATCGAAATGCATCAGATTGAGAATCTGTGTCCCTGGGTGGGTCCTGCTTTTAGGGGACACTCACAGATGTGCGTTTCTCCTTCCCATCATTAAACTTACACGGCTGCTGCCCCCCCCCCCGTCCTTTCCCCCAGGGGGAGTACGACGCCTCCGCCAATACCGTCCAGGTGCGGCTACACCTGGCGCCACAATACCGTTTGGAGAACGGGGCCCTGCAGCCCAAAGCAGCGGCCGAGGACACGGTCACCCTCAGCTTCGACCGCCGCCGGACCGTGGGCGACTTCCGGCTGGCTGTCTACCAGGTGAGGCACGACCCGTCCGGCCGCTGCCGGCTTCAGCCGGGCCGCCGCGTTTCTGACGCACGACCCGCATGATGTTCAGATGCAGGACCTCTGGGAGGGGGACATGGCCCTGACTGTGGCCCGGAAGCTTCCAGCCGGCCTGCACCTCTACAACACCCTCACAGGTAGGCCGAGGTTTCCGGAGCGTTCCAGCTGTGTGGTCTTTGTCTCCCAGTGAGGATGTTACCTGCCTTGCAGATGACGCTCAGTCTCTGTACGCTGTGGGCGTGTCCGATGGCTCCGACCTCTTCGTCTGGAACGGCAGGGAGGTGAGCGGCTCTCACATTTCTGTGCCGTCAATGGCGTCGTCCGGTGTCACGTGGGGGGGCGGGTCCTAATGCGATGGGCGTGGCTTCCCCAGGTGAGCGGCGCGCCCCTGCGGATGGGCTGCGAGTGGGAGCCCGTGCTGCTCACTCTGCTGCGCGCCTGCGACGAGGCAGCCGGAGACGGGGGGGTCGCCGGCAGCTCGGCGCTGATGCCAGAGCCGCGGGGCTTTCCCGGCGGGGCCACGCTGGGGGCACTTCGCCAAGCCGTGGGGCCCGAGGACACCCTGCTGTGCAGGGAGGAGAGCCGGCCAGGCTGCGAGGGCGGGGGAGGGAGTGGCTGGAGAGTGTTCCCCCCCGCCGACATGCAGCGGACGCTGAAGGAGCTGGCGCTGAAGGATGGGGACTCGCTGCTGGTGCTGGAGCCACAGGTGTTTGACACGAGGTAATGGGGGGGGGCTGGTCTGCCTGATTCAGGGACTTATACAAGAACCACACTGGAGGCAGGATGATGGACTACTGTCAATCACTGATTGGTTTAACCCAGGAAAGTTAACCAATAGGACGCATGTCAAGTCACTTCTTTTCATGAAAATGTTCATTCAGCTCTAAATAAAGAGTGTTATGTAACACTGTGTCTCGCTGAGGTTTCCCTTAATCCCAGGTTCTGAATGACTCAATATTTTATCGTATGTAACAGCTCTCCTGCTTTTTAACATTTTAATGGTCTCTGACGCGACTTTTTGATGTCGCTATTAGGTCAGTGGTAGATGGGCTCAAAAACATGTAAATGCTTGACTACATGTATTTTTTGTCTGGAAGGCAGACATTAGTGAATATCAGGGACTCCTGAAGGCTGCTCTAAGCTGTGTGTGTGTGTGTGTGTGTCTGTCTGTCCTTCTCTGTGTGTCTGTGTGACCCCGCCCTTCTACAGCCTCTTCAGCCTCACTGGTGACACTGTAACCGTGACGACCCCCTCGGACTGCCGCTGGCTGCAGGTGGAGTCCCATCTTTGTGCGGCGAGGGGGGCGCAGGGCGAGGGCGGCGAGGATGAGGGGGCGAGGAAGCAGGCGAAGATCTCAGCCTCTGGAAGCACGGTGAGTCCTGGGGACACCCGGCCGGGCTCGGGGGGGCGCCACTGCATCGCGATGCCATCTGCCGCTCTCGTTGCCCCCAGCTCCTGTCAGAAGTCAAGCTGAGTGCCATCGAGGAGCTGAAGCTGCAGGATCAGTTTAAAGGTGAGACCACCCCCTCCCCGTGTGCTGTGACGTGACGTGACGCTTCTGTTAACCCTGTGCCTGAGCCCGTGTGCCTCCCCCCAGGAGTGCCGTGCTGCCTACGACAGGCAGACCGAACTGGGAAACTGCTGCCCCCAGGTACAGTCGCATGCCAGCATGCTGTTTCTGTCATGTGATACGTGCCCCCCCCCCCCATGCTCTGCCCCGCTGGCATGTCACACGCTGATCTCTCCCCCCGCAGTGCGGGAGGACATGACCGTGCGTGAGGCCGGCATCAAGCTCATGACCTCGCTGGTCCTCTGCCCCGGAGCCGCGCCGGGACCCCACCAGGTCAGCGGTGCTGCTCTGGCGCGGGTGTGGGGGACCGTCTCCGGCCGGCAGTCTGCTCTGTGGATTTCAGCCGAACCCCTCCCCCATTCCTATCTCTCTCTGTTTTTCAGCTGTTCCTTTATTTCACCGTCAGTCCTCCCGTCGGCACCGAGGCTGAGATGGAGATTATTGTGGAAGAAACGATCACCGTGAAGGAGGTCAGCAGGGCTTGTGTGTGCGCACGTGTGTGAGTGTGTGTGTGTGCGTGCACGTGTGTGCGTGTCTGCATGCATGTGTGTGAGTGTCTGTGTGTGTGCATGCACGTGTGTGCATGTCTGTGTGTGTGCATGCACGTGTGAGCTAGTCTGTGTGTGCGTGCATGTGTCTGTGTGTCTGCATGCACTTTTGGTTTGAAAGCGGTTGATATTACATTGCTTAAACGTTGAGACGGACACTAAAGGGCTTCTTCTCTGGTTGCAGTGCCTGAGGCTGATGTTGAACGCTGCTGGTCTGGAAGGTGAAGGTCATTTTGTTTTAAAGCCAATTGCTCACAGCACTTTAGTGGCGCCCTCTTGTGGCCGGTACCCCCCCCCCGCTGACCACTCTGGCCCTCTGCCCAGGCGAATGCTGGCACCTGAGGAAGATGGACTGGTGCGAGGAGCTGGGGGATGCGCTCACGGACGAGGTGAGGCGGCGCACCGGTTCTGGACCTTTCCTGCTTCCTGTCATGTTCGGCGCCATCTGCTCACCTCCCCTCTGAACTGTTCTCTCTCCTCTTAGGACTCCTCTCTCGGCGAACTCAGCGTCGCTGGCGGCGACACCCTAGTGGTGACAGAGGGCCGGTTGCCGCCCAAGGTAAACGACACACGGATGCTGAATTTTCCAGGTCATTGTACCTATAGTTTTTAAAGGGGTCTGATCTTGCTGGTGTCTCACACAGGGGTTTCTGAAGATGCCAGTATGGTTACTGATGGAGCAGGGCGACCAGGGCAACCACATAGGCAACGATCTGGACAACCACCAGGGGGAGCCCTCCACCACCGGTGAAGGTAGGGGAGGGGGGGAGCGGGAGGGGGGTCCCGCCAGCAACGGCGTTGACCGGCACCTGTGTGTCTGTTAGGTGGTTGTGGAGCTGCCATGCAGTTTGTGGGCCACGTAGAAATTTCGGTGGAAGCAGCTCTGGACGACTTGAAGATCCAGGTAGGGAGACTAACCAGCAGCTACGTGGAATGTGTACGTCTGCTTAACCGCCGGTTTGGCAGTTAAGTACAGGGATAAAGTCCCAAGAAGGACTCTGCTCTTCCGGCGGAATCTCCATCCTGAGCTGCTCTGTAAAGACGTAGCGTTTGGGCCGTACGCTGGGAACCGTCCTGCGCTGGCTTGGCGCTTTAGCGCCGTTTGGGTTAGCTTAGCCATGGAGCTAATCTCTCCTGGCCCGCGGCAGGTGCTGACCCTCCCCCCCCTGCACGACCTGTGCGTGCCCAGCCCCGCCTTCCTGCGCGTCTGGCTGCTGGAAAGCCGGAGACCCGGCAGGATCCTCAGGGGGAACCTGCAGCCCCTACAGTGAGTGAGCCAGCAGGACTGAAACCCCACAGCCTGCATGTTAACCCTCCATTCTGTTTCCACTTTGTTCTATACAAGATTTTTATTGCTTCAATATTTACATGGCATAGAATTTTCACTCTTTTTCTTTTTCCCCCCCTGTAGATAAATTTGTCTTTTGGTAAATTTTGGCAAATGTTCTACACACCGACTCGGATGTGAGCAAAACCTCATTTCAGATAAATGTTGCCACAGGAAGTTGAAACTGGCCAGCGGGACGGAGCTCTGTGTACAGCGTCTGCAGAAGGAGGAGAATCTTGGGTAAGAGGAGCTCTGATTGGCTGCCTTCTAGTGGAGCTGCGGTGGTGAGCCCTCTCCTCCTCAGAGTGGCTGTTGTAGTGTGCTGTTAGATCGGGCTCCAGTGACGTAACCAGATCACATGACCTGTGCTGTGATTGGATGATTGGACAGACCTGTACTGTGATTGGTCAGATCTTGGATGGTGGGGGAATGAGCGTATTATGTGCATTTTCCCTTCCTCTGTACACCTCCTCCCCCTGCCCCCCCCCCTCCCCAAGGCCAAAGGAGCTGCTGCTGAACGTGCAGATCGGAATCCCCGGAGAACGGAGCTACTACCCGTCCCAGGAGGTGGTGTGGGACACCGGGCGGGACGGCTCTGCCCGCGGCCTTCGCCAGGCCATTGCCGCCCACTGCAGCCTGTGCCCAGACAGCCTGATCATAGCCAAATATTGTCCTGAGAAGTATTCCTGGATGGTCATCTCCAGCTGGGTGAGGTGCCTGCCGGAATATTGAGGGTGGGGGTACGGCCCCCAGGTTCTGTGGATAGGGGGCAAAAAGCAGTAGGGATTGTCCTGGACTGACTACGTCCAGTGTGAACGGAGGCAGGAGGGATTCCGGGCTTCATGCTACGCGTATGAATGATGGTAACGGTAGCCATCTTCAGTTTGGTGTGTGACAAGTCTTTTGCGGCTTGTGTCGTTTTTGAAGATGGATTTTTGTCATCACAGACCCAGCAGGTGTCAAAGCGCAAGAAGAAGAAAAAGACGGAGAGCCTGCTGGGGGCGCCGTTTCACCTGAGGGACGGCGACGTTATCGGCGGCAAGGTAACCATGCGGGCAATCTGTAGAGACGGTTGGGTTTCTGGGGCTGTCACTTCACGGTGCCACTCTCTGCGCCCCCCCCCCCCTCAGAACCTGCTGATTGACAGCAACCGGGAGTTCAGCACCCCTGAGGACGAGCTGGGCCAGCAGAGACTGCAAGAGGAGGCTGGGACTTGGGCCAAAGGGTACGCATGTCCCTCTCCCAGACGTGGTGGGCGGGATTACCTATGCACTGTCAATCACTGGCTTAACTCACTCCTCATTGGTTGATTTGGCTTCCTTTGGGTTACTCTGACAGAGCGCTATATTCCCACCCGACCAGTGTTTACTGGTTTATGGTTTGCATGTCCCTTTGAGTTCCGATCTGCTAAGTCTTCATGCACATAAGCTCCCGAAGTTTATGTGCTCTGCTGCTAATTGCCATTAGCACAAATATGGCGTAAAGCAGATTGCGGTGACGTTCACATTTAACTGCTGACCTGACACTTTATCTAAAACAGTGTCGTCTTGGACACAAGGGCTGAGCAATTCTGCACTGCCAGAAAGAGTGCCAGTTTGTACCTTTGCTTGTCACTGGGGCTGTACCCTCAAGGGTCTGCCAATTGTACCATTAGCTATAGGTAATTATACCTTTTAAAGTACAGAAATGGACTCTGTGGAACATTTCTGTACCATTCATGGTACATTAATGCTGTTTATACCTTGGGGATGATCCTCAGAGTCCATTTCTGTACCTAAAAACAGGGGTGTCAAACTGCAGTCCTGGGGGGCCGGAACCCCGCACAGTTTTTGATTTACCCTCGTTTAACACACCTGATTCAACTCCTTGTGCTAATTACCACACAGCTCTTGAGCTGAATCATTTGTGGTGGAACAGGGAAAGAACTAAGCTACACAGGGCTCCGGCCCCCCAGGACTGCAGTTTGACACCCCTGCCTTGAAAGGTACATTTACCTTCAGCTATAGGGTACAATTGGCCTTTGAGGGACCCATGAGAGTCACTACATGTTGTACTTGTGTTGTTTATGTGACAAATAAAGAATTTTTAGGGTATAGCCCCAGTGACAAGCAAAGGTACAAATTGGCACTCTTCTTTTTTTCTGACATTTTCATACATTCTGCGAAGAATGCCACCTGTTATGCAGTACAATTTGATAGCTGGGATACAACAACAGAGAACTAATGGTATTTCAAGCAAAACAAGTCAGTTCTTTTTAAACTGTAGCAAGACTCCATTGTAATTCCATTGCCATAAAACTAGCCTGCTACACTATAACCTGTTTTTCTGTTTGTGTCCACCAGGGGGCAAAGTGGGATCGTCGGGCCCCACCTAGAGGTGGCCCTGGAGTGTAAGGGGTCAAGGAAGAGCAGGAAACCAGAAGTGGCCTTGTCCATCAACGTGGGGATGTTCAGATAGCACAGGACACGCGTGTATGTGCAGACACACTTTATGTAGTATGCCAAGCATAAATGCCTACTCATGTACTGTCAGCAGACCGGCTCATTGTCTCAGGTCAAGTCACCAGGAAACAGGTGCCCAGTGTTTCATGTGGTCTGGAGCAAGGGGGGGGGCAGCAATTTTGTCTTTTTATTTAAAATTGATGTAAAGCACAGGTGAAATGAGGGATATGAAAACAGCTGTTTGTACCTTTACCTTTGAGCTGGCTATGGCCCTCCCTCACTAAAACCATATGTCTCCTTTTCATTTTGTAACTATGCAAACAGCCCCTCCCTCCGATTCCCTCCCAAATCTGTGGAGGTAGGACACTAACGCTGACCATAACTGCTGCTGTTTGGGTGGCAGTGGGGCGTTTTGGACGCCGCTGCTCTGTCGGTGGTCTGCTGTCAGTGGTCTGCTGTCGGTGGTCTGCTGTCGGTGGTCTGCTGTCGGTGGTCTGCTGTCGGTGGTCTATCTTTCTCCACATGCCCTCGCTGGAACTGGCAGCGGGTTCTGCTGAAGTCCTCGGCCTTCTATTAGGAACAGAAACCTCTAGAAGCACTTCTCCCGCTGCCCTTTTCTCCTGCAACTAAGTTGCAAACTTTTATTGGGTAAAGAGAAGTAAATAGAATGGTTAATAATGTGCAGTTTCAAATGTAATGAGCTGATCCAGATATACTTCTGGGGAAGTTCGGGTATCACTGTATGGATCAAACAAAGACGCTGCAGATACGGCTTGGAAGCTGACGGCAACTGCTCACCGGAAGAAAATCACTTCAGGATAATTGTTAATCTGACTGTTTGGTTGTTAATCCTAAAACTGATTTATACTGCTTGTGACTAAGTAATCATATAATTTGATTTTTGTTTATGCTTAATATATTTTTGTTGATGGCTTAAAATTAATGTACGCCATGAAATTGTCAGGGCGATGTTTTGAAACTGAATCGCCTCATTACACAACACGAGAGAAGAATATAGATTCTGCCTTAAGCACAGAGGCCTGCATTTAGCTGCTTAGACTTCAGAGTCTCACTTCCTCCATCTGTTTCCATAGAATCTGATCTTTCTTCAAGGACATTCAGAAAGAGGAAGGGGGACCGTTGTAAAGCCACGTGCATGGACAAAAAAAAAATCCAATTACCCGCTGCATTCTAAGTGGGCTTTAACCCCTTTGACATTTCTTTATAAATCTGGGAAAACATAAGGTTGTCAAAGACTCTGTCGACAAATTCTTGCTGCCGCACTCCTCCCCATTGTGTCTCTTTCCAGTGACTTGTTTTTTTAATGAATCTTTTCATAAATATGATGTAAATCATGGGAAATTTGTATGTTAATTGATTCTGACTACCGGAGTAATAGACCTCTTACTATTTATTTGTGCTGGGTGAGTTATCACAGTAATGAATTGCACAGTGCAGGGGTGGGGGCGTGGTCTGTACCCATATATAATATATATTTATTTTCTTTTTAGAAAACAAACTGCTTCCTGATTGTAGTCACTGGCCGGTATAGGTGACAAACGTTCAGAGGATGTGTGTGACATTGTCATAGGATGAGAGCTACATAAGGACAGAAGATGAGCCAAGTTTCCATTTCTGTTGACTCGGGTTCGCAGTGCTCACAGATAAACATCGTAAATTCTTAATGGCCGCTCTGCTCTTGCCAGAATGAGTGCCCCCACCTGGCACAACCCGCCTGAATTCACCAGTGATGACTTATGAAATATGACCATTTCACTGTTACCCCTCACTTCTGAGAAAAGGCGGCAGATTGAAAACCACTCCACTTATGATATCTCCTTCCACTTCCTGCGGATTACTGGTACCTCCTCTGTCCAGTACCACGGCATCTGACATCACACGGATGGTAAAGATTATCTCGTCTCACGATCGAAGCAGGCGGCGGGGCCTGCGCGATCTGGGAGGAATCTACCCGGCGCCATTAACAAAATGGCACGCGGGAGTATTTCCTGACATCTACATCAAATATTGATTATATTGCTGTGCAGGGGGAAAATCAATCCAGATTAGTCTCACATGTGTTGAGCCTGAGAAGAGATGGCCACCGATTTGGGAACATGACGTTATGGAAGAACAGAAGGGAAAAAATATCGCCGTCTGTCTGGCCCCTTGACTTCCAACTGACATAAAAGATCACAGCATTCAATACTTTTCAGTCCACGCTAAACGTGTTTTTAGTTTTGTAGACATTTTGGAGGAGGTAGAGTCTTCTGGTTGTGGAATTTGCATATCTCCATGGTAACAAAAGCTGCAAGCTCACTTCAGCACCCTCCTGAAAAGTGTCCTTTAAGCCATCTGCTGAACAAGTCCATAGTCCTTTTGCACAGTGACAATTTAAGGTCGTGCTGGTCACAATGGTAATGCCCAAGTGTATCTGCAGTGGAGCTAGACCCTGACAAGAGGAGACGGCGGCAGTGGGTAACTCAGGGATATGTATTGCGACCTAAAAATGTGCCACTCAAGAGATGGGGGGAGATGTGGGTGTAAGGTACGTAGGTCTGATGAAAGGGAAAAGGAACTTAACATAAATCCCAGCAGTGAAAATATCCATCTGCAAATTGCTGTGGCGTGTCTAAATTAGAACCTTCCATTCATTTATGTGGGCAAATCCTAATCTCAATCAAGACACCCTTAACCCCTACCCAGCCCTAACCTTAGACTTTTGGCATTTTTACTTTTTTGATTGCATTCATAGATTTTTAGGTTATCCAAATGGGGACCTGAAAAAGTGCATACAGAGCTGGGTGCTGGAAAATGCAAGGCTACAGTGATAAGCTATGAGCCACTGTCTCGCTCCGTGTTCGTTCATTTGAGCACGTGCTTTCCATAACCACTAATCCAGTGCTCTGTAGTAGTGAGTAGGAAAGGCGCATACACTCACGTTACAAGTAATTTGGGGACACCTACACAGCATGCCTTTCGGGAGAAACCGGAATAACCATTCTCCTGACACATCACTTAAGTTCGGGATTCGAACCGTGAAGCCCCGCAGGTGCGAGACCACCTCGCTTTACTGCGCCGGCGCGCCGCCCTCGTTTCGAACAGCGTTCGCGAGACATGCGGGGACGCAACCGCGAGCAGCAGGCGCATGTGGGTGTGTGACACTAGAGGGCGCTGCCTTCGTTTCCCCTGCTGACAAAGCGCGAGGAGAGCAGCGTTTTCCCTTTTATGTGAGCGCCGGCGTCCCGGAGACAGTGTAAGGTCGGGCGAGGCGTTTCCAGTCGTCCCGTCTGTGTCTCTGGCGCGGCTGCCGCTGCCAAATCTCTGCGCTAAACAGGAACGGCGGAAGAGGAGCTTATCTCAGCCCTCCTCTTCCAAAAGCCGTTCTCCGGTCCCCCCCCCATCTAGTGCTAGATACGCAGGTTAAACTGACGATGGGCAATCTCGCTTGTTATCTACGAAGCATTTTCTGTAGACTTCGAGTTTTTTTTTGTTAGCCAGCTACATTAGCTAAACATTTTAACCATATTTAATTTCGTCCTGCACTTAGTCGCCTGTTTTTTTCTCCTTCAAGATCTTAAGTCCGTCGCTTCGGAATTTCGAAACGCGTCTTGTGGACAGAAAAACCGACGCGTGTTTTGTAGGATATTAGAAATCACTAAAAAAAAAAACCTTCCACGGAGCCCTTGGAAGAGACGATCGGCAGTAGTTTCGGTGCAGACGGGAGCAAAAAAAGGAAAAGGAGAGAGCGAGAGAAAGGGGGATAATATGCCTCCTAGTTATTAGGTACGGGAGCGAAGTTCCCGAGTCGGTAGGCAGCAAACGGTGCCGTTTAAAGGGAACCGGGAGCATCTGCGCTTCTCCGTAGGACCCCATTAGAGCTCGGCTGAAGCAAGACGGCACTTCGCACGTTTTATCTGTGATGAATAATTAATAATCTACATTTTATATCCGGAGGCCTTTCCTTGGATTGAAGTCAAATATACGTTTTCCAGACTGACCCAGTGTCGCTGACTGCGCTGCTCACAGATTGATCGGCGTTTCCATATCCATGTGGATGTACTTTATTTTAATTTTTTTTAAGTACTGATTCGAGTAACCTGCTCGGTAGCACTTCTCTTGGCGAAGCGCTGTTTGATTTTTCCAGCTGCTCCAAAATACTCTGCGCGCCTAAGCGGACTTGCTGTGCCAGACGGTCCATCATGGTGACCAGTCAGAGCTTATTTGTGTTATTGGGACATTAAAACACCCGACATGGACTGTTGGGCATTTTGGAAAATGTAGGCGTATAGTTACTTTTTTCTCGACTGCCGACTTGACTTAGTAATAATGTAATGAGAGAGGGGAGGGCGAAGAGAGCTGCCGATAAACAGAAGGATTTGAGTAATACTGCAGTTTGCTGGGGATTCACACGGATACGCGGATTACAGCGTTTCTCCGCGGAGGCCGATCGCCTAGCTCTGCCATGCGCTTACATGGGGCTCGTTTCTCCGCCCGGAGCTCGGCTGGACGTTACGGCGTCAGTGAATGATCTCGGATCGCCCTGCTTGAGCGAGGGGCGACTGGGGAAAGCGAGAACTTCACGGGGAAGCCGCACGTCGCCGCGGAGCCGGAGCGCGGCCATGGCCACGGCGGTGCTGGCGCTGGGGATCTGCGCCGTCCTGCTGCTCAGCCCCGTCGCGGGTAAGTCGAGCTGCTCGGCCGCGTCTTTTGGCTTTTGTGAGATAAAGGGCTGTCAGCTTAGTGCCATTTAGCGGCAGAGCCGAGAAACGGGCGTGTGTCAGGCTGTCTGTTCCTAAATACCCGTTTCCACAAGACGGGCCGTCAAGACTGCCCCGAAATCAGCATATTAAAGGCGGAAAAACCGCTCGTCCGGCAGGTGTCCAGTAAGTTGTCGCGCCTGATTTAGCCGTGCGATGAGCTGGGGGCCATCGGGCTCGCCGTGTGTGGTTCGGATGCGGGAACGCGCGTCGGGGACGCAGGCGGACACGCGCACAGCGGTCTGCCCGGACGGGCTGTCTTAACCCTAATGGGCTCTGGTAATGAAGAATTGTGCAATATCAGATGTATAAGGTTCACATCAATACTCCCTGTCCAGGTTCATTGTTCTACCTAAGGGGTAATTCCGCTGCCAAGAGAAGAATGTAATAAAACGTGTTTTATGTATCCTGTCTGGAGAGTTACGATGTAGCTGGAACGAGCCTGGAAAGAAGAAACAGTCCGTTTTCTTTGAAATAATCAGTCTGATCGAGCTTATTTTATTTATTTTAGTGCATTGTCTTGCTATATAGTTGTTTAATGTATCATTGGAAAGTGACTTTTATCTTGGTGGTTTCCGCGATGCACCGCGTCTTATTTTTTGAGTAAAGAAAATGGTGCAATGTTACGCCTGGTTCTCTGCGTTTTCCGAATTATTCAAACAATGTCGTCATGTGGCGTCTGCCCGCGACTGTGTGCACAAAATCTCCAGGATTCGTGCAGTAAATGGCCATCATTTTGCCAAAAGTGATTTGTGTGCCGATTGCATTTGCTAACCCATACACCCAGCATGCACGCTTTCATATTGACTATGAACCATTGGATTGGGATGTAATTCACGCACTAAAGTTATGCTTTTGCATTTTACATTAAGCTGCCGTTTTGCGCAAGAAATGTAGCTCGCTAATGAATCTTTCGTCGTATTAGAGAAAAAATGTTATATTTACATGGCTGGCCGGTGTTAACGCTTTTTTTTTGTCTGTACTGTAACACTAACCAAAATAAATGTTTTGTTGCAACTGTTTACGTTTCCTAGGCACTCGTGGTTATTTTAAGGCTTTGCCTACTATAGTATGGTTGGAGTACTATTGTGGCTCTGCGGAGTTCTACACAGTGGTTCTCACACTAGATCATGAGAACTGGTTCATAGAATTGAAAATAGTGTCCTTAATGGTGGCTTGGTGATGGTTTGGGTGGTTGTTGATAATTTGTGTACTGGTTAGCCAGACTCTTGACTCGTGTTACTAATGTACTTCGGCAGTGGGAGAAATAATGATTTTAATGCCTTGGTGGGTGGGGTCATTGCATGCTGTCCGCCACTGCTTGCTGCATCTCAATCCCCATTACTTTACAGGTATGGATTGGGTTAAACCAGTCAGTGATTAAGCGAACCTTCTGACTTTAACAGTCTTCACACTCTGTGATGGTGTTCATTTAGGGCTGGTCATTTTAGGAAGCCTAGCAAACAGCACATCTTTGTAGAAAATGTTGAGAGGGGCTCAGGCAGCAAGGTGGCAGGGGATGTGGATGGGGAGGAGGAGGAGGGGGGGTCTGTAAAACACACACGAGGTCATGCTGTGAGCTTTGGGCCTGGAGGCTCAACATGACTTCTGTTCAGCCTTGAGGAAGATAAGATATTCGCGCTCGAAGGGGCCGACGGTGCGTGAGAGGTGAGGATGCCGATAGAAAGTTGAGGACTGAAATGTAAGGGGTGAGAAGACGATGATATGAAGAGCCGTTCTTTGTGCGTGGACACGCTGGCTGGACCACGGGAGGGACGACGGCTGGGGCGTTTTTCTGCTCATAATAAACTAGGCGAGAACAGATGTCTGGGAACAGCTTCTCCCCACGGAGTCTAGCTGAACAAAGATACGTCGCTGCTTTTCTCCTGAAGATATGTATCATATGTGTGACCTGAAATTTACTGCCCCCCCCCCCCATACTGGGCACTTATCAGCTGCTAAGTGTTTGAAAACAAACCTTGCCACAATCTTCTACAACCGGTAACAGAAATTCTTGAGTTTTGACTCATGGTCGCTGATTGGAGCCAGCACTGGGCCTGGCCCTGGAGCTGCTGCTTGTGTATGCAGAACCCCTCCTCTGAGTTCTGCTTCAGGTGGGTTAGCCCATTACAGCATTTTGACGTGTGGTTCTGATGAATTGTGGTGAGCTGCATTCCGATGACCTTTCTGGCAAGAGGGCGTCGCAGGCCCCCCCACGCACTGGTGCAGCTGAGGAACCACACGCGCAGCCTGCAGAAATCCACCCGACGGTGCCATCGACCTGCTCCCACCTCCGGCGCTTAACCTCAGAGCACGATGGCTGATTTCTGCTAGCAAAGCAGGCGAATGCTTGTGTAAGATGTAAAATGCTGCAGGCATCTTCTGTCTATGAGAAAATAGATGCATGTAATTTGTTTATTTAAACAATTAAGTGCCTTTAGGTTAAATTGTGTTCATTTGATGTTTCTTTTATTGTATGCTTGTGGTATGAAATTCTGGCCATTCTTGTTTGAAATGTACCCAATTAGTAGTGCATCACCCAGCTTGAGTATGTGTGTTAAATAATTGTAATTTTTAGAGCGATGCTTTTTTTTTTCTCTTCCTTTTTTTTACGGTCCCTGATTAAAAATCTGACGCAAGATGTTTCCCCGTTTTTTTGAGGACGGTGCAGTCTATCTTCCACACGTGACATGTAATTCCCAGGAAGGGAGCTTGGCCCTGCTCCCTCTACAACCACCCATGTGAAACTTCATCAAAAGGGGTTTTGTTGATAGAATCCGTCATGTTGTGGGCCGTGCATCATTCACCTGCACCCGAAAAACAGAAGCAGCCCCTCATTGGCTAGACTCTCCAGTTAAACAAATAAAAGGGAGAATATTATTGGTACTAAAACTATTGCAACATTTTGTGATGTGTCACTTTTGGAAAGGGTCACTGTATCACTTTTACCTACAAGAGACACCCGAGAGTCTATCTAGACATCTGAGAGTCTGAGCAGTTGTAATTCTGGACTTGGGCTTGTGAACATGGGCTCCAGCCTGTTGACATTAGACTTATGCAGTCTACAATTTAAGGAGAATAGTGGGTGGTCTGGCTTTTACCTGCAGGCAGTGAGTGTTATGGGGCTATGCTTATTTTGTTTTTAACATTGTTTTCAAACCACAGCACCATATTGCTTGTCTCGTACGTAACCAGTGAGTCACTGCCATTTGCTAGTGACCTGTGTGTGCAGTTGTTTTGCTTGTTAGCTTAAGTGTTTTGCGTTATTAAAAATTATGATTGGCCGTTAAGCTTACACGTATGTCAGCCATTTTATTTTTCTGAAGTCTGTTGTTGTCATTTTCGTTGCGCGTTTGTTTTGTTCTCGTGAGGGATAGTGTGTCCTGCCCAGGAAATGAAATGGATTTTCAGTTTTCAGTAGAACCGTCAGAGAGGGAAAGGATGGACAGCTGTGTGCAGACACACCCTATATGTCCGCTGCACATATGCGCATGACTTGCGCGCATACCATACGCAGCCTGACGGCATGCTTTCTCAGAGTGCTGAATCTTAGCCGGCCGGCTGTTGACGTGGCTTCAGAGATCCATGTGTAAAATTGGACCCTGGCTCATTCAGGATTGAAAGTGCATGATTGCTCAAAACGCCTTGCTATCGCGCTTGGCTTTCAGCATAAGAGATGCTTGGCTGAGATGGGTCTGGATCAGCCAGGTAAATCATTTGCACGCGGCTTTTTATATAAAAGTAGTGTTATATCTGCAGACCGGGTCCCTGTCAGGGAAAGGTGCATTGAAAACGCTCAGAAGAATCTCTCTCGTGTATCTAGGCTTATCTTCGAGTTGCTGGTGTCATACTCCTGTAGGATTGGTAAAGTGAGTTTATTAGGATGACGATCATGAAGCCTCACTGGCGTAATCCAAACCAGTCCGTGTATGGGGGGGGGGGGGGGACAGGCCAGTTGTTTTCCTGCACTCGGGCAGCTGTGCTGCTGGGACAGGTCCCCAGGTACCGGATGGATGATGTCAGATTTTTTTTTTTTTGGCTTCCTGAACGGACAGGAGTAGCAGCTTGAGAGGGAAGTCAGACGCAGTGAAGCTGATGTGCTTCTCTGTCAGCTGTGTCCTCTCCTTTCTGTGGGATTGGGGATCGCAGTGTAGAGTTCGTTCTGCTCCGACTGCAAATTAACACACTATCCAGTTTGCAAATGTCCTTCCTCAAAAACAAAACAATCCATCTATTATCCAACCACTTACCCAGATCAGGGTCACGGAGGCCCTGCCATGTACCCGGGACCCTGTTTTGATTTTCAATTTCATGTGTTCGCATGCTTTTGGGAGTTATGTTGCTCCCAAGTGGATGTGTGGATTTTATTGGGATTGAACTCTGGGTTAGTTTACCAGTTTTTTTCATTGCAGGTTAAAGTTAATTTAACACGCATTCGTTCTGGGAGCTGCTTTTTTTGCGGATAACTTTTTCATTCCATTCTGCTAAATTGAAGCCCCTGTGGTAATCGCCCATTTAAGGTGTACGTGATGATTGTCCCAGCGAGGGAGGCAGACCGTTTAATGTCTCCCCAGTGGAGTTTTACTGCAGGTTCGTCGTCATTCCCGTGCTCTTACTCGAGCTGCCGGTACCTACGGCTGATCGCTGGCTCGCTTTTAAGCAGACGGTGTAAAGGGAGGAGAATAGATCAGTGTGGCAGGTTATTAAAGACATGAAATTGTTACATGGAATTGAAGGAGGAAACCCATTGAGAGTGTGTGCGTGTGCATGTCTGCATTTACTAATGAAAAGCTGTATGGTGTGAGGTTAATGGGTGTTGGGGCAGTATCCTCCTCTTCCTCGCTGCCCTCTGTCCCTGTCCCCTCTTCTCTCCCGTGCCCGTCCTTTTGGGACAGAAGGACAATCTGTAGCAGGCTTTAGACT